GCTATTCGGTGGTCTTCGTTCTTCTGCCCTTTACAACCTTCGTTCTGGCGATGTTTGAGTCTTCAGCGTAGTCATCGCACAAGTAGGTCCCGGCATTCCTGTTTTTCCGCCTCTCTAGTTTCCTGCGGAATGTGTTGGTGGAGGGGTTGGCGAGGCGGGGGGGTGAGGGTGAGGATGGGGATGGGAGGGAGATGAGTGAGATGGAAGATGTGATGTTGACGAATAGCTTTGCGGTGACGGTTGGGGGGAAGGAGTTTATGGGGTTGTTTGCGGATTTGGCGGTGAGTTTTGCTTGTGGGTTGGCGTTGATGAGAAGAAGGTCGAAGCTCACTGAGACAGAGATTTAATCATGCTTGCAAGCCCAAGTATGTGCTAGGAACGAACTGAGACGTGTGCTGTTAACTGACCTTGGATTAGTGCGTTCATCAACTTCTCGGAGAAGACGTTGGCCATGACGGTACTTGTCAGTACTGGTGGTCCGCCCGTGATATCAAAATTGGAGAGGAAATCACCGTCACGTGTAAGAGATTCCAAGTATCCACGATCGTCATGACCATAATCGCTTACTTGGCTTAGACTCCGCTGCGGGCCTGACATCAGAAGAGAGACAAGAGACCTTGGAGAACGTGTGGGGTTTCAAGTGGTAGGCTCATAGTTTACCTCCCTTTTTTCGTGTGATGCCAAGAACGACTTTAACATAACCCCAGCCAATGCTCCCTCTGCACCGCTGAACCAGCCGACCTCGTCGCCTCGGATGACCGCCGTAGGGAGGTCCGCTCTCTCCAGGATAAGGTTATTGAACTTGCTCAACATGGCCATTTCCACGAGGCAGTCGAAGCCAGTGAACGACTGTTTACTCTGGTGGAACTCGAAGGCCTGACGGAGCAGATGGGCGGCATGTATGAGGTTCCCGCCCGTCTTTATTACCACATCGGCAATCTCGAGAAGGCCCTGGAATACACGCTGAAGACGAGGCGTGAGATCGATGCTTATGGAGTCCCCGACGAAAACGGAGAGGAGAAGGTCAAGATGCTGAAAGGGGTTATCGAACGGCTTGAGAAAGAGATAAATGACAAAAGAACGAAACGCGAAGAGTCTAAGGCAGGATCATAATGGTATCAACGTAGACAGTTACAAAATCCATGGGATGACATTTCCTCGTTTAATACCAGGAACATTGTCACTTTTCTGCTGGCGGTAGAGCTGGAAAATGAGAACAACGAAGAGGCCCGCGGCGGGGCCGAAGCGGAGTAGCAGAAGGGCACCGATGGAACAGAGGTTACAACTCATTCTATCTATTTCGTTACTTTGACCTCGGAAGGTGGGTGAGCCCTTTCGAGGAGATGGATCCACGGGGTAGCGGCGAGGCCGCAACGGAGGTGCGGAGGTTTTCATCCAGCTTAGGCATGGTTTTTCCTACCGATTTAATCGCTGAGGGACCGCATGTACTTAGTACCTAGCGTGATAAGAGAAATAATAATAATAATAATAATTGTCACTTTTCTTATTTGATTTTGGCAATATTTCCCTGGTAAACGATAATTTAGCATGATGCCATACTGTGATACTATTCCCGAACACATTTCCCCTGGATCCCTATGCCACTGCCGGCTCACGACAACCGCGTTCCACAACTTCCTTGGAATACGAATCACCAGACGCTGGCCTCGTTCTGCAACACAATCACCACAACGCGATATCTCGACAAGTTTGTCCGGATCTAATGCTCGCTAGACCATGATTAGGGAGGCGTGGTCCTCGACTTGTCGATCGGAAAATACGCTAAAGCTCGTCTCCAAAGCCGTTGAATGTCGCCGGCACGCATATTTCCACCAGTGAGAAAGAAGCACTCCGTCACCGGTGCCGGCTTGGCAGGGCAAACCTGCCGGACGGGTAAATCGCAACACCGCATCAACATCTTATTTGGGGACAATGCTTCTTCGACAGGGTTCCCCGCTGGAGTACATTTTTCCATTGCATCGGGTAGCGAAGTTGGGAAAAAGATGGGGCTGGGGGCTTTACTGTCTGTGTAGTCTGGCCTAGGCCTGAATATCACCTCACTTCCCTCGTATATTAAGCTGTACGGCATTCCCGGCTTTCATGGTTATAGTCCACTCCTATCATCCCACCACCACTCGTCCCGAATACCCGGATATTCACGATGAGGCTGAACTTCATCACAGTCCTGTCGACATTGGCCCCCTTGGCGGCGGCATCCCCCCTGGGCAGCCTCGGTCTTGCATCCTGGGGTGTCGAAGGCTTCGCCAAAGACAACCCGATCGGCACCACCACCGGCGGCAAGGGCGGTGCCACGGTAGTTGTCGACAATGCGGCAGACTTGGCGGCAGCCGTTTCCGGAGACAAGCCCAAGATAGTGCGCGTCAAGGGCGAGATCAAGCTCCCGGCCCGCGCCAAGATTGGCCCCAACACGTCGGTCATTGGCGTTGGAGGTTCAGCTCACATCACCGGCAGTGGTCTTGATGTGGTGGACTCGACCAATGTCATCATCCAGAACCTCAAAATTAGCTTCATCGAGGACAACGACTGCATCACGATCCGGAACTCAACCAGGGTCTGGGTGGACCACAACGAGTTCAAGTCTGACATCTCCAAGGGCCCTGACTTCTTTGTGAGTACTCCGTCTTAGCCTGACTAAAAGTAAGATACTAACTCTCTCCACTAGGACGGCCAAGTCGACATCATTCGGGCCTCAGACTGGATCACGGTATCCTGGAACTACTTCCACGACCACTGGAAGTCGTCGCTCGTTGGAAACGACGACACCTTCCGGGACATCGACTTTGGCCATCTGCATGTCTCGTACCACCACAACTACTGGCGCAACATGGGCACCCGCGGTCCTGCAGGGCGCTTCGGCCACCAGCACATCTACAACAACCTCTACGTCGACTTCAACTACCAGGCAATCCACTCTCGGTCCGACAACCAGGTGCTTGTGGAGGGCAACGTGTTCAGAGGCAAGACCCGCGAGGCGCTCAGCACCTACGGTCTCGTGATTCCGGATGACTCGCCTAACACCTGCACGTGTGGTGACGAGGAGCTCGATGGCTATGCCAACTTGGGAGCCAGTAAGTGCCCGGCGTTATGCTTTTGTTGGAGAGTCTGTGGCTAACACGTTTGGTAGAAAACGATTGGGGCAAGGCCACGGTCAACATTACGCAAGTTGGTGACTTTAAGAAGGCGCCTTACAAGTTCAAGTTGACACCTCTGCCCTTGGTCGAGCCCATCGTCAAGCTCGGGGCTGGCGTTGGCAGGATCTTTTGAGGTGGCGGTCCATAGTTCGGGCAGTTATAACGTGGCGGTGTTGGTGGAGTGAGAATAATACCATAATTCCGAATTACTGCCATAGCCCAATATGGCTGTAAGATTGAAATGATGGCTGTAGGAACCGCGACCTTTGCATCACCCCTGCCACAGTTCAGCCAAACCACACTTGGATGATTCGATCCATACGCAGGAATCCATACGGATGGTTTGCTGCACCAAGTTCTCGCAACTATCTGCTCCCAACCCTGCAGGTCCTCAAAGGCAAGATGGAAGGCATCGCTGGGGATAGTTGCCTAAAGGCCAAGGAGTGACTAAAGGTGCAAGGTAAAGGCCTTGCGCAGCCCCCAAGGTCCCTCCTGAGTCCTCGATCCTCCGTCGCCAAGCACCACCACCCTTTCGACAACGACATCCGTGTCGTAGCCAAACGTGCCGCTTGCTTCAACGGCCTTCCCATTCCAATTCATCGTGATTACCGACTTTTTGTCCCCAACATCCAGGCTCTCCCCATCGTCGAGATACAACTCGCCTCGAGCCGTCCCATCCGCCCCCGGCGCAACCGTGATGACAAAGTTCTGCTTCCGCAGCTCTGCCGTGGTATTCGCCGAGTTGGCCCTCATCGGCACGATGCTGCCCCCTTTTATATGCACGGGGATGTCCGTCCACGCCACCCCCTCGACCCTCTTCATCTCCCCCGCACTCACCACCTTCTCCCCGGTCCAAAAGTCATACCACACATCCTTCGGCAGATAATACCTCACCGTCTGCGAGTCATCATCCACCACGGGACTCACCAACAGCGCCTCCCCCAAAAACCACTGCGTCTGCACGCCCCACGTGGCCTCATCCCCCGGATACCCAAACCACAACGGACTCACCACCGCCCTCCCCTGCTCACTCGCCCTCCACATCGCCGTATACAAATAATCCAACAACCGATACCTCACCCCCACCGCCTTCCTCGCGGCCTCCCCCACCAACGGCCACCTGTAAAACTCCTGATCGGGCGCGGACACATCAGCATGATTGCGGTAAAACGGCTGGAACGCGGCCATCAGCGCCCAGCGCGCGCACATCTTTTCCTCGGCTTCCCCATTGAACCCGCACACGTCCGACCCCACCATCGGCATGGCCTGCACGGCCGCCGCGCCCAGCAGCTGCCGGATCGCTGTGCGGTAGTGGTCCCACGTTGAGGCGTTGTCGCCGAACCAGTGCGCCGCGTGCGCGGCTACGCCGGCGAAGGTGGAGCGCGTGAGGACGAACGGGCGTTTGCGGGGGGTGCGGGTGAGGAGGGCGCGCCGCGTGGCCGCCGACATCATGCTGCCGTAAAGGTTGTGCGTGTCGTATTGGTGGGAGCCGTCGGCGTTGGTGACGTTGGTGTAGAGTGTGAAGGCGGAGAGCGGGCCGCGGTGGGAGGCGATGGGGTAGGTGGGCGAGAGGAGGTCGCGGTCGGGGAGGCCGAGCTTGTGGCCTGTTTTTCGGGGGGGAGTGGTTTGGCGGCGGTGGTGGGGTGGAAGGGGAGGAGGTTGGTGCGGGTTTTTGCCGACGGCGGTGGTGATGATGGTGGAGGCGGAGGTGAGGCAGTTCATGTCACCGCACATGTTGGAGGCTTCGTTCATGTCTACCCAAAGACCGTCCACGTCGATGCCGGTGGAGCGGTTGTAGAAGGAGAGGATCTCCGAGGTCCACCAGTCTTGCGTGCCAGGGGTGAACCAGTCCGGCCAGACTACCTCGCCGGGCCATTGCATGCCACGGTAGAACGAGCCGTCAGAGGCGCGAAGGAAAGCGCGCTTCTCTGCACCACGTGTGTAGGGGCCGTAGCTGTCAAGCCGTCGGATGCCCGGGTCGAGGATCTGAATGTAATGCTGGTTGTTTTGATGCAGGTTGTCAACAAGTGCGCGGACCCTATCCAGGGGGTAGCGCGAGGGGTCGGTACTGAAGTCCCGTTTCTCTTCCATGTAGTCAATATCCCCCCACACTACCTCCAGAGGGATGCCGGCGGCTGAGTAGTTGGCCACAACCTCAGCCACGTGGTCAATGGTGGACCAGCCGTACTTGCACTGATGGAAGCCAAAGGTCCAGTACGGCATCATGGCAGGCAAGCCAACGATTTCGGCATACTGCTTGCTTACTTCAGCCGGCTGTGGTCCGGCCACGAAGTAAAAGTCCAGCACACCCCCGATGGCGTTGTACTCCAAATACTGTTGCCCTGACTCCGTCTTGTCGATGATAATGTCCATCCCGTTGGAGTTGAGGAGGAATACACCATGCGTCCCTGACTCACCCCGGTGGTCAAAGTACACCGGATGACTTCCGTACAAATTCGCATGATTTGGGATGAAGGGAGACTCGGCGTTCCAGAATGTGCGTCTATACCCGCTGGTGGGCAGCCGAAAATCATCCGAGTGTTCACCCAGGCCATAAAGGTTGGGATTCTGCGGGAGGCTGGTCCGGACCCGCACATACTGCGACTCAAAATTCAGTGGTGAATCTGATGTATCGAATAAGACGTCACCGGTAGAGGGTCTTGTGATATTGAAGGTGAACGGGTCCTGGGTGAAGCTGAACTTGAGGGCAGCGTCATTTGCAGTTACGTTTTGGGTCTTGGGCCGAGGCAGAACGTGTTCCTGGACTTGATACACCTCCTTTTGGGCATCCTCTATCAAGACATGCAGCCGAGCTTCTATCAAATAAAGAGGTTAGTCACATTAAACATGTTTGAAACCAGCTCTACTTACCGGTCTGGTACTCAACGAGTAACCGCAAGTTTTGAATGTCTTTGCTGTGCAAACTGCAGTTGTCGATGAGAATGAGGTCAGCAGTCATGTAGGACACATCCTCATGGATATTGGTCGCGCGGTATCCAGAGCATTGTGCTGCCGGACGCGGAATCTGCGCAAGTATTGTGGTTGCAAAGAGCAACAAAAGAATGAGGAATAATGCCATGGTAAATCGTATGAGTGTTTGGGACTGTTTTGCATGGCATGGGGAAGGAAAGCACCACGAATGGATGTGGAAAAGTCCATTACTTATTAAGGCAGGAACAGAAACAAAACGAGAGCATTAAGCTCCTTGAACCTTTTGTCTGAACGGGCCGATTCAGTGACCCCTAGTCGTACGGCTTTGGGTATTCACAGCCGTGTCACGTCGGGCCACTGCAACTCCAACTCCAGGTTTGTGGGGGAAGGTGCTCCGTTGCTTGCCCATCACCGAGGTAAAGGTGGTGGTGACCGGAAAGCTCAAGGGTAGTAACCTGATGGCAACGTTGGCACCAAGGGGGTGACATGGTCCTTGGCCATACTGTACCACGGCATCTCAGGGACATGGCCTCAAAGCCTGCATGTGTCCAGGAGCAGTAACATGAGCACCCCTGACTAATGCTTTCCAACCCTACGCTGGTTGAAAGTACATTCAAACGGCCACCGTGGATCGTCGCCCTTGTTAGCAAGTCCTCCCCCCAATCATGTTGGCTTGCGCTAGAGTGGCCGATGCAAACGTTGATTCGCCTCACTTAACGTGGTTGTTTTGACTGCAACCTGCCTTTTTGAGAGCAGTTACCGCGGATGGCAACGGAAAGATCGGACTAACAACGCCGGCGTAAATCCGAGCAGGTAGCCCATGAACCGCTCAAGTTGGCGAAGAGGGGTTTTTGTGTGGTAACAACATAATGCCGTGTGCCACTACAGCCACCCGCGTGGTTTCTCTGAGACACAAAGAAACTTGGGCACCTCTGTATCGACGACATGGGCTTCACTGCTGCGGCTTACCGTGGGCGGGCTGCCGTGTCCGCATAATGTCACAGAATAATGGGTAGGGGCTGGTGACACAACCTCAATATTTGCTACCGATCCCGCAGGCTCGGGGGCAATAAAAGTGAGCCACGCCGTGGACAAGAGGTCTTCTTTGATATGGCTTCCACCGTTCCGTCCAGTTTCAGTATTGGATATGGTTCAGAAATAAATAAGTAAGTACCTGAGCGAACCAAAGGCTAAGGGAGGGCGGGGGGCGGCCGGCAGCGAGGAAGAAGACAAAAAGAAATCGGACTTAGAAGATCAGTCATTCCGTACTTAATCGACGTGACGTTATCGATATACTAGCACAACGCTGGGCAAAGATGGGGACCCGTTTCAACAAAATACCACTTCTCCATGCAAACCCTTACGCTATGCCACCAGACTCCCCTCCCTCAACGCCTCCCGTCCCTCCTGCCCATTTATAGTCCAAGCTTTCTCCGCAGCTGGCCGCGTCTAATACCCAACCCTCCGTGGGCGGCTCTGCCCGCTGCCCTCGAGCGCTGCGGCCTCGGCCTCCCCGCAAGCAACACATCCTCCCGATACACGTCACTGATCGCACGAAACAGCGGCGACCCGTAGCTCACCAACAAGACCTTGACCACAATGCCGGGTGCCCGAGCCTTCACTTGCGCAAATAGTTCTTTTAAAGACTCGGGCAGCGTGAACCTGTCGCTGCTGCTGCCGCGGGTCTCGTTGCACTGTGCAATGCCCGCGGCAGCCTCCCGCCCAAGCAGCTCGACATCGACCACTATGAAAACATGCTTGCTTCCCATGCTTGCTAGACTACCCGCCAGCAGGCCAATCCACTCGCGCTCCCCACGGGCAGTCTGAAAGCGGGCGCAGCTGAGCGCCAGAGTGCGCTCGGTGGTGGTAGACGGCGGGCCACCGAGGCGCAGCGCCTGCGCGGTGAGGTACTTGAGTAGTTCGACACTGGATATGGATGCTCCCGAGTGGGGGGCTACTGCCGCGGGGTCGGACGTTTTGAGCGCCCAGAGTGCAGTGGCATTGGCTTGTCGGATCGCGTCGATGGCGTCGATTAGGCAGGCTCGCATGGCGGAGCGCCCGGAAAAAGTGCCCTGCACCATGACGAGGTTGGAGGAACTGCTTTCAGACCAGGTTTGGAAGCGTGGATGGAGCCAGAAGGCATCGTGGGTTGCTTTGCGATGGAGGGCGGCACGGCTTCGGAGGAAGGTGGCTTGCTGGAGGACTTTGTCTGGGTCGTCGAGGGGGGGGTTGCTGAGGGAGTTGAGTATAGAGGAGAACTGGAGGTCGGTGAGGGCCGTATTGGTGTTGTACATGGCGCTTGCGTTGATCTGTTGGTGACCTGCGGCGGCGGTTAGTTGCTGCTTGAGCCGAGGCTGCCTTACCCAGCAGTGTTGGTGTTGGTTAATGGGGGATTGGATTTACTAATCATCATCTGCTTCATCTCAAGGAGCAGCACATGAATATCGCGCTGTTCTGCCTGTGACGCAGCAACCGCGAGCCTCTGGAAATGCGTCGTGGCGGCGGTTATGTCCTGCAGGATATCATCGTATCGGAGTTCCTTTGGGTGCGTGACCGAGTGCAGCGCTCGCATCCAGCTACTCTCCGTCAGCCAGTCTTGGGCGCGGAGAAAGAAACGGATCATGTGGGCATATATCTCGGCGAGGGCGAGCTTCATCTGCTCGGTCGGGTACAGAACGGCAGTTATTTCGACACTGGCCAGCGTGTCGGCAATTCGAGTGAGACTCTTGGCCACACACGACGCCAGGGCTTCGTGGTTGACCACGGACTTTTGGCGAATCTCGTCAGCGATTAGCCTAGCTTGGCGCAATGGCGGCGATGCGCGCGCGCGTGGGAATATGACCGACCAGAAAAAGGAACTTCATTGCACCCCAAGCGAGCGCAACGTACTCGGGGTGGTGCTGGACGAGCACGTCGAGGATGGCGCTGTAGTGGGTGATCCTTGTGGACAGTTTCACGAGCCATTTTCGGACCCTGCTACGGCCATGGCTTGTGGCATACTTTAATTGCGCATCCGCGACAAGGCTCTGCAGCTCAAGGATGCTGCTGGCTTGGTGGACTCCATGTCCCTTTTGTTTTTTTGTGTCCCAGCTTAGGACAGCACCGAACTTGGCTGTGGCTATCTTGAAGGCCTCTCGTGCTGGATCCAGCGTTCTAAGCACGATAAGTCAAACATCTAGTTCCATACTATGGTGGTTATAGTCTGGTTTGAGTAAACATAGGTAGGTAGTGACGTACGGATCGGCATCACCCGCCTTGTACCATTCCGGCCTGGAAGCAAGTGGGGACGGCACCATGCTAAGTTGCCGCTGTTACAAATGGCGACTTCACTGACGTAGGTAGTGACACAAAGTTCCAGCTTCCAGTCTCGTGGGGTCTGAGGGAGCTTCTGAAGTTCGAGCCGTCCGTGCCGTTCAGCAGCTCCTGCGGAGTGCCTAGGTAATATAGGTATGTACATACGTACATACCTCAGCATAGCCACCTCAGCATAGCCACACAGCCCCCGCCTGTGCTTGGCAACGAGGCTCGCCTCTCAGGTTCTGACCACCGAGTGAACCAAACTCAATTTACTCATCGTTACAGCCGAGCTAGGCACAACCCCAAGCTTCATTTCCCTAAGAATTCTCTCCATTGACCAATGTCTGGGGGTCGGTTATTAGGATCCTATTTTCGTCCACTACCGGCCCATATCCCGGCGCCGGCCCCAACCCCCCCGCCTCCACGCCGAGAGGATCCACCCATCGCTGTTCCCGACGAGACACAAGACGCTACCCCCGACGGCGGACAAGACAAAGCCACCGCATTTTTGCAGCACATTACCATCTCCAGAGACCAGACCCAAGAGCGCCAGCAACTTGACGAGGCTGTCGCTCTGCGAGCCTTGCTGTCTCCAACGCAGAGTTCGGACCCCCACGGACAGTCACCCCAGGAGTATCAACATCTGTTTGACAATCCGGACTTTGGCACTCGACTTTCTCTTAACACCGAGCCAAGCAACGACCAAAACGACCGCCACCACCGCAGCAGGGACAGCGCATCAGGTACGGAAGACGCCAGCAGCGACGACCCCGACGTGGGCGACGAGGAAACCCGGGTTGCCAAGAATAGGACACATGTCAAGCATATTAAGTTATACGAAGACGCCGCGTCGTATCTCTCTCGTACCATGGACGCGCCAGCGGTCTCGTGGCGGTCCCCAAGCCCACCCCCTATTCAGGGGCCGTCGAGGAAGGCGCCTCTTGGGCAGGATGATTTTGACCATTCACCCACCGCTGCCATGTCGAATTATGGTATAATAATGCCAATCCGCCGGGAAACCGGGATTCCATTTTCTGCCGGGGCTCCAGTTGCCACGGGGAGCCGCTCGACCCAATACCTGGCCATAAACCACAAATTCCCCGCCTCGGATGAGTCCGAGTCTCAGACTGAACAAGATTCCGATGCCGCTTTGAGTCCGCCTGGGCATCCTCCCTCGCCCGGAGCTCACGGGGACTCGACAAAGCCGCACCGACAGTGGATGGACCCGCCGAGATCCTCGTTTCGCCAGTCCGCACCACAACTTCTAGCTTCTGTGGCAGCCAAACACGGCCGCCCAAAGAAACGTATAGTTGACGTTGGAGGTGACGATGATGATTCCGATGATGATGATGGTGCCTATGTCAATAACCGGTCGCCAGAAGCCTCGAGCCCTCTTGAACTGGAAGGCCAGGCAACCCTCAGGGAGCGAATCAGGGAGCTGCACATGGAGCTGGAAGCACTGAAGGGCCAGCTGACCACCAATCCGCATACGACTGTTCGCGGGCTACCAGATGCAGGAATTGGAAATCACCCACAGAGACCGGGTCAGCGGTGGCGCAAGATCTATCGTATCAAAGGCGCTTGTTATCTTGGAAAACCGGCCTGGGACCATGAAGACCGAGGCCTTCGCCTTCGAGCATCGATGCCTATCGCGAACCTTGACAGGTTTCTGGAGAACCAGGATTTCCTCTTCATTGTCTACAACGACTACGGCTTCGTTCAACCCTCCGAGTATAGGCTCGAAGAGCGAGAATGGGAAGTGCTCCCGCTGCCGGAGCCTTCGGCCCAGACCATTTCCTTTCCAAATAGGGCCATGGTACAAGCCCTGGTGAATCTATCAAAGCTCTATTCGGACTTCAACACTGCTTTCCCCAGCTTCGACTTCAAGAAGGAGATTTCTACCCCTTATCTGAGCCTTTTCTACATGTATCCGGAATGGACGTCCAAATCCCGAGAACTCGGCAGACGCGACCGGGTCTGCGTCGAGGCACTGTTTACATACCTGGAAAAGACACTGGGACCCTTGTACCAGGATGTGTCGGGACAGCTGTCCTCGGGTCGCATCTCCTTGGGTGCCTTGCAATTCTTGGTGAAGCCGGGCGACATTGTCGTCCAGCCCAGGCCCTGCCCGACCGCTTTCATGTTAAACGGCTGGGGCTCGAGCGTATGGGACCCATCCAGAGCAAAGACAATCGTCGGGCCTTTCAAGCTACTGCTGCCAGTTACAAGAAACCCTTCTGGGGCCCCCAATCTCCAACCACAATGGAGGAGAAGGGAACCACATCGGACCGCGCGTCCGAGAATACCCATCAAGTTTGGAGCGTTGCCGGGTGGAATTTGGAGATAAAACATGGGAAACTATCGAGGCATCAGGAAGTGCTCGAATTGCGAATCGACCACTCCACGACCGAGTTGTTTGACGTCACTTCGTTGGAGTGGTATCCCCTACGGTACGCGTCCGAAGAAATCAAGAGTTTGCTCTCAAAGCGAGGCCACACGTACTGGCATTGCCGGGAGCGGCGGTTCGTTGGATACTCGAACCAAGGCCACGAGCCAAATGAGCATGACAGTGTTGGTTTTGCCCCCCCCCCCCCCCCCCTCATTTGCACTAGGTTAGATTTGCGTCGCTCGAGATAAAAACCCGACCAAGGTCTTTTTTGGCGTGTGGATTATGGGAAATGGAGCATTCCTACACGGGAAGGGAGCCTGTTGAAGTAGCGCGAATAAAGTTGAGATAATTAGATCGAAGGATGGTAAATAAGGGATTGGTTTCAAATGTTAATTCTCTTGGAATTCTCAGATGGGAGAGTGGTGGGGAGCCTGTCGCGCTCCATTTTTTCTTTGGTGTTACTGTGATTGTTTT